CAGAAAAGCGAGCCAGGGGAATCAATGGTGGTGATATGTGTATTAAAATCGTTACACAAAGATCTAAAAGGGTCGTGCATTCCATAGTTTGCTCTGCACAAAGTGAAGGGGGTCTAAAGTGTCTAGATGATCTTAAAGGGATGGTGAAGTTAAGCTCGCTAAGTATGAATGGGCTATTGAGAGCACCTTTTATCAATTTAGTTAAAAATAAAACTCCAAGCATCTTTCTATGACTATGGAGTGAAGGCAGATTAATGAGCCGTAAACGACTTTTGTAAGAAGGCCGGTTCTTGTTCGCATCCCAGTTTAAGTTCCTTAACGCAGATTGTAGGAATTGCATTAGTACAGATTCCAATTTATCCCTATACTATTGATAGTGCGGACTCCATACAACTGAGTCATTTTCCAAAATGGCCCTAACAAGTCAGATAAGGAGTAATTTTGTATTATAGGGGTCTTTGAACTCCTTAGCCCAACGTTCACTGAGAGCTAACCCGCCTTTTGCCTTATTAGCACAAGCATTTATATAAAATCCAGCTTAGGGTCAATTGTGACACCTAAATCAAAGAAGTCAGTAACTTGATCAATACTGTGATTATGTATCATATAGACAAAGGACTGGAAAGATTTTCAGGAGGAACACATGTATTTGCATTTATTTAAATTTAGAGACATACAGTTCGCATCGCACCACCTAACTAAATTTTAGGTAGAATGAACTGATTTAAAGAGAATATAAGGAAGAGTAAGGGGCCGAGGTGACTGCCTTGAGGAACACCAGATGTTACTGCTATTTCACGTGATGTACAATATTTGAAAATTACTTTTTGTTTTCTATCCAATCAAGTACGATGAAATCCATTTGAGAACGGAAAATGGAAACCCGACATGATCAAGTGAAGTAATGAATGAGAGACCTTGTCAAATGCTTTGGTGTAGATAACATCTGTCTGATTACCATTTTCGATATGGTAGATTTTCCCATGTTGTGAGACGTCAATAAACGACAGAACAAAACTTTGCTATCCCTATAATTCCCTATTGAAGATCTACTACCAGATTTATGTAAATGTACAACGTACGACTTTTTTCACAAAGAAGGAAGTAAATTTTGCTTTAATGAAGCATTAAACATGTCCGTTAATGGTATATTGAGATTCAGCACAAAATTTAAGTACACTAGTACAGATATTATCCTAACCGCATGTAAATGAGCCCTTAAGGGTATTAAAATAAACAACATCAGCGGATATATGGAGATTTTTACGGAATCAAAAGAAGGCATTAATGGTAAATGAATAGCTGTGGTGTTGAATTTGTGGTCGGTGCATAATTAGATTCGAAAAACCTGCGAACATATCTTTGGTTTTGTAACAATCACTAGAGACTTCATCATTCATTTTTCTAGATGATGGAAATCCAAGAGTCTTACGTTTCGAATTAACAAGACTATGGAATGTCTTCGGTTTTGAAGTAATGCTATTTTGAATTCATGTCATATACATACTTCTTATAACACGACTTATTAAAAATATTATACTTTTGTCTAACTGCGGAATAAGCACCATAATCATAAATTTTGCCGGACTTTTTATGGAGCTTGAATAATCTAGTAATCTTATTTTTCAAGCTTTTCAATTCTTAATTATTGCCTTGAGCACGTATCGGCTCGTTAGTTATAGGAACAAATTTTCTGAAGACAGAATGTAGAACACTTATGAAGTAAACAACGGTTTTTCCGCGTTTCCATCACAGATTAAACAAAAACACCATTCGGCCAAAATGATTAGTTTTAAAGTACGTCAAAGCAATCTTCCTAATACCCAAACTAGCTAGATTTAACTTGCCTGGTATGATCGGACGTCATGCGGAGCTGTATCTTTTCCAAACCGCGATAAAAATGCTTCCTTTTCGGAACTAGAACTAGCCCTTTTCTAGTAGTGATTAAGGCCGAGAAAGATGTAAGTAAGTGGTCTGGCGCCGCAACTATTTCAGTATTCTTAGATGCAGTAGAAATAGGAAGTGGGACAGGTTCAGAGAAAAGTGGACTTGAAGTGGGATTGTTTGTTACTTCAAATGTCTTAGCGGTAGCTCTAGTCAAACAATCTATTGGGCATGGAGGATTTTCCCCGGGGCAAGGGGAATTAAATGACATCAAGTCTTCATTTAAATTCGGACTGGATTTATAACTATCAGAGGAAAAAATACATTCAAAAGATTTAAGTGCGATATTTTTGAAATTTTTCGTTAAGGACTTTAAAATCCTTTTCTATTTCCAGAAAGCCACTCCTTGTAGTTTTAAAAAGTTTAAAAATGTCCAGCGAAGGCCCTTGCTAAAATGTAGTTAGTCGAGGGCACGACCGATTAGGCCGGCACATTTAGCGTGGGCTAACTCATCGCAAAGCCGGCAAGAAATATCACGCTCAGCATCACTTTTCAAATTACTCTTTTCGAACGAACAGAACATCAATTATTTAAAATTAAATGTAGTAAAAATATACATATAAAAGAAAAATAACTGAAAAGTTACGGAAGCACTAAAATAATATTGTTGCGAAAATGCGAGGCGAATGTCAGATGAAAGAGAGAAGCCGATAACTAGTACATTCTAGAAACTATAAAACAAGAACCTTCCATAGCGAACAATTCGATGCTTCTACGCTTTCGTCTGCGAGCAGCCGACTGCTATATAAAGGCGACACTCAGCTGCAAGTGAAGTTAGTTAAAAAGTGAACTCGTTGGCGTTAACATCAGTAAAGTCGTAAAGTAAACGTGTTGGGATTACATTTAAGTAAAGTGAATTGTGAAAGATGATACTAGTGATTGTAAATAGTAAAGTGCATTATAACTGAATTACTGAGTAAATAAAGGACGTTAGATAAAATCTTTATTACGAAAGAAACTGCAAATTAAGTTGGCGAGTTTTATTTAACAATCCAGAGATCGTACCCGAAGGATTCGGAAAATAATCGAGGTTGATTTAGTTAAATCGTAACAGTATGTAAAGAAAGCAAATAAATGTTGAAATGTGCACAAAAATCAAATGTTTTTACTGAACACTTAGCTACGACGCTACGATAATGTTTATAACAAACTTTTAAGATAAATTTAAAGGATTTTGGCACTTTAAACTTAAAAATTTTTAACTGAAATTAGGTGTAAAGATTTGAACAACCAAACAGCACGAACATTCCAACGTTCTTGCATTCAGAAACTATCATACAGCAACAATGATGTAATTTTACGTTTCATAGCCGTTAAACCATTAAGGGCCGTTTTCACCATCTCCGCTTAAGCACTTAATCAGAAGGTAGCATAAAATTCGTTTTCACAATGTCCGGTTTAAGCGCATCTGTCAATTAAGTTGCGGTTAACTAACACCGATGTTGAAGCAGATTATTTGCAGCTGAAAATTGTAAAATAGTATATAAAATAGAATTCCGGCATTGGCTTTAAAATAGATAGATAGATTTCGTCTTTTCGAAATTAGCGCAAAATACATTTTGGAAAAAAAAGTAAAATTAGAAGCAGCACTGAAAGGTTTGTGAAAATAATGGGCTTTGAGTACATAAATATTGAAAAGCGGCGGAAATTTTGCTTTTAACATTAAGTTTTTATGCATATGTTATTTAAGACGTTGGGGTGTTTAGATTGCACTCATGTCAGAATCCAATCAGAAGAAAATACCGAAAGTTATCCAAGCAAAAAAGAGTACTTGTAAAATGGAAGTAATAGACTTTGTATGCAGGTGACGGAGTTCTGGGCATTATTGTATTATTTTTAATAATACCACCGGCTTGAGCAAAACGAATTTAGGGACTTCTTTTCATCGGGTGGTAGTAGTTATGGTTTGTCAGTAACTACATGTTGTGTCAACTTTTACAATCGAATCCTCGCGCCGAATATACAATGAATATCAAACCCTAACTCAAATTAGCATATCGAGAAGCTATGGATTGGAGGTTTCGCTCAGCACAACTACGAACATCATTGTTGCCTGTAGATAGAATGACTCTAATTTGGATTAGGTAGAAGTTCAAGCGAATGAACAAGCAGACACATCCGTTTATGCCAAAGAAAACATAGCTGAGGTGCAACGAACCATAATATATTACATACATTTTATATATGTAATTTAAAACCATCAAAGTCCTTTTTCCCAAATAAAAATATATGAAACAAATTAAATTACAATTTTTTTCCAAAAAATGAAAATAAAACGGAAGTTCTTTAGAATTACTCAACCATATCGTGTGGAAAAATGTATTCAAATCGAAATTTTTTGTGAAAACGGTCATAAGTCTTCTGAAAGGACCAAGGTGTATGTATAACTTTCTTGCAAAAATGTATCGCTTAAATTTTCAGGAAATGAGCAAGAGCCTTATTTGTTATTATAGCAACAGCCTTGTTTCGCAATGTTTTGCAACTCATTTAATCATTTAATCGACACTGCTTTATAGTAAATTCTAGGAACCCAAAATCAGTATTCATTGCACAAAAAATAAAATTTAATTATATGCCTTCAAAAATCATAACATTAAATTCCTCAATGTAACTATTTAAGTAACTATTCAATTGAATTTTTAATATTGTGAAAGCACAGCATCCACTCTTTGGTGTGAAAGCTATCCCGAACGCTTTTATTGTATTCTTTGCCTATTTACTTGTTTGCATTCCTATTTTAATTATAATTCGCTTTGCGTAAATGTAAAAAGTTATACGTTAATCTAACGAAAATTGAATTCCTGTAAAATTTATGTATATTTGCTGCTGTGAGTTTATATTTATTGTGTTTAAATTTGAACGCGTTTGTAAATTTGTTAAAAAAAGTTAAATTGAATAAAATTAAATTTGGCCACTTATTTTGCTAGTTTATCATTCATATTAAATTATTATTATTTGAATTTTACGTATTACGTTCATTTAAATCATGAATGGCTGGCACAACGAATTTCCAATCGCTTTCTTAAAGCCAAAATGACAAAAGTGGTGTTTACACGTGTGTTGTCATTCTTGCCGAACAAGCGTAACTTAGTTGAGCGATAGCATTGATACCAAAACAAAGCAATGTGCAATATTCAGTTGAATAGATTGTCTGTTTTATTTCCATCATTACTATTTTCGAGTAAAACGACATTTTTAACGTATTCTTCTTACTTTGTAAAAAGTTTCGCTGTAAATAATCAGACAAATACGAATACATAATTTAAAGCGAACTATTACTTTGTTCAAACAACTGATTAATTTCAAAATATATAGACAGAAGTTCGAAATATGCATAAAGATCCTAAGTACACCCAAGCAGGGGTAATAATGAATTGTCGATGCATTTTCAACATAATTTTTAATTATTGTTTTTACGTTTTCTATTTAAGGGCAACATTTTCGCAAATTCGTTAAAGTAATATCGCGTAATGCACTTCGTATTATTCAGGAAATTCTGTTAATAGCAGATTGACTAGAATGGACGGTAAGGAAGCAGGTATCAGCAAATCTAAAAATATTCAACAAAATTACGCACCGGAGTTGTCACTCTTTCGGCGATCTAACGCTAAAGTTACGTTAAAGTCAACAGCAAACATTAGTTTAAGGCCACCAATATAGCAACACTTCACAGCTGGGCTGCTTCGAATCATTCTCACCAGGACTTGCGTCGAAACCAACCCCGGTGCGACAAATTATTTCTGCTGCGTCTGCCACAAAAGACTCCACCATTCCTCCGTCTTGGTTTGATGTAACCATCTTGATGGAGTCATCTTAAGGACTGCTCAGGCCTTAAGACACATTGGGACTGGTCCATAAATTATATGGCCACATGTTGCCAACGCTCACATGTGCCCGCAGCGTCCACGGCAGTGTCTTCAGCACTTTTACCCATTCTGGGTAACCAACCAGACCTCTACGGTCTCACGGAGTTCCCCGCAGCATGACTCCCGCAAATACCCACCCCCACCACAACCAGCTCCTCTTCCTTTCCCGACTAGGTTGAAGGTGTTGATTGACTCCTGGTGAATTACGTTCAGTGCTTGTTTGCACGCCGTTCTGTCTAGCGGTTGTTACATATGTTGCTGGATGGTATGTTATCGTTCATTGTGCATTTTGTCGAATCGTCTATCTGTTCCGCCCGCTGCATTCCTCTACGGTCATTTGACAGGCTAGAATGCCAAAGATCGTCATGTGCGTTAATGTCATCCAAAACCAAAAGGTTTCGCCTCTGAGTACCGCGCCTATATCAGAGCTATATCTAACTCGACAACTTCGTTTCCTGTATCGCAACAATTGACAGGCGCTTTTTGCTCTCATAGTCGACTATCTCGTCGATCTTTCCCTGGAGTCTGTTACAATTAAATTGTGACAGTGGCGTCTGTCTCAGGGGTACGATCGTGACGAGCGGGTGCCGCATATTTGTTTTGGTTGGCGGCGCTGTTGTAGAAACCGGTGGGGGCAGACTCCTACAGCATAGGGTGACGCACACTTCACTCCACTCACTCCTGAACAGACCTTAAGATGATTTCAACCATTGCAATGGTTGCACCTAACCAAGGTGGAGGAGTGATGGGATTTTTTATGGCACACGCAGCATAAATAATCCGTCGGAGCAGGGCTGGTTTCGATGCCAGCCCTGATGAGAAGGATTAGGAAAAGCCCGGCTACGTAGTGTTGCTCCATTGGCGCCTTTGGATGTATGGTACCTGTTGACCTAACCGGGGTAGGTCGCCGAAAGGGTGACAGCCCTTGGCCGGATTAAATCCGGTTTTTTTTATGAGATTTATGGAGATTCTCTGTCGAGATTCTCATTCGCAATTAGAAAATTTAAGTTTAATTTTTTAATTAAATCAATTTTTTATAACTTTTGGATGTTGGTCGCACCGGAAATTCTGCGTTACATTCAATATTGTTTTGTGGTGTTATCAATACAGTCCCTCAACTGGACTGTTTGTATAGCAAGAATGACAAAAGAGAGAATATAGAACGTACACACATGTAAAGATCACTTTTTTAAGCCAAAGTTGGCAGGGTAGTATTTACTGGCTGCAATTTTCCCAGCACGAACATGCAACTTTATCTCGAAACTAAACATTATTTGATTATGTTTTTGGCTCACCGAAAGTGATTCAGTAAGATTGAATAACAATTGTTGTTGTTGATGTCTCAATTTTATATATTTTATTTTAAAGAAAGTTTTGTCGGTACCCTTTATTATATAATTTTATTTAATCAAATTTTTTTTATGAAAAACGTATTGATTCCAATTAAAAATAAATATTTGGAGCCTACTAGTACAGACCTGGATGAAAACGCAAGCTTAAGGACGTTAACAACTTTTTCAGACGAAAATATCCAAACATGACATGTAATATTTAGTAAAATGAATGGCAATGATTGTGTTGTAATTTTCGTAGCTTTCAAAAAAAAAAATTTGTTCACTTAGTCAACACTTGGTTGTTTATTAATCAAAACTTGTAATAAAAATTTAATATGCATTCCTACGTAATATTTACTATACAGTACATTGAACAGCATTTTTTATTTATTTTCTCTTACTAAATCAATTGGCTTAAAATGATTTAAGGCATTTACTGTCCAATCTGACTCAGCATCGCTGGTAAACTCCTTTTTGAAGCGATAATTGCATACAAATACCTTATCCTGATATTCTGGAAGAGATCTGAAAAGGTTACGAAGTTTTGAATTATATAAGTAAACATAAAAATAATAATTGAATATATAAAAGGTTTTCCAATAAGATGTATTAATTTGAATAGCCTTCTATTCCAATAGATGTCTCTTTTGAAAATTTTTGGCAGTACTAAAGACGGTTTAACAACGCATTAAAAGTATTAAAATTCACTATAAAAATCTTTTTGAATGATCACCTCGATGGCAGCGTCAATAAGGAAAACTATAGCATCTGGGGCTCCAAAAAGCAAAGATTTATTGTTGAAAAGCGTCTTCATCCTCAACGTGTTACTATTTGTTGCGGCTTATGCCACATCGAGAGATCCTTTATGATTTATGTACGGCGTTTAAAGTTGTCCAGCGGATCTTGTACAATTTGTGGAATGGGTTGCTCGGTTTCAAGTAAATGTCTGTTGGTGTGCTGCATATGGTAGCAAAAAAATGACTCACGCTTGAATCTATAACTGTATACCACGTATAATACGTTGACTAATTCCATTCACTCAGTTAGTAATAATTAAGTACATTAAGTAAAGTTCTCGGCAGGGACTCCTCAGCCTATTCAGAAAAAACATCAGCCATTCGAAGGCGGCTTAGTATAACTGCCGAAAATCGCTTGAGCGGTTACAAAGAGCCATTTTTTTAAGAAGTGTCGCAACTTTGTTTTAGTCACCAAAAACTTGGTAATCGGTAGTTAACATCATTGTTTCTACGCATAACCATGTTTTGTTTCCTATACTTTTTCTATGGTTAACTGACCAAATATCACTAATAATAAACTCATGATGCGTAAAATATATATTAGTCTTAGTAAAAGAAATTCACTAATTTTTACAATAGTTGGGGTTTTTTAACTGTGATTCAGGTTTGTTTTTCTGTCAAAGATGGACACTACCAGAGAAAATACGCTATATTCTAGTGTTTCTTCGATAAGGACGAAAATGTAAGCCATACGGCTGAAAATGAGAATATCGTTTATGGTCTTGATACAGTTTCGGTCAATTATGCGAAATTACGGTTTCATTCCGGTAATTTTGATGTAGCAGATAGATGATTCACGGAATTGAAGTCCAATTGTCGAAACCGTCGATAAAATTAAGGACATTGTCGTGTCCGACCGTCAGGTAAGCATTGCTCCGATTGCCAAAGAGCTAACGATTGCACAAAAAGCAGTATGAGACCATACATATATGGCTGGAAACGAAAAGTAGAAATTAAATTACGAAAAGTAAATTAATGAATATCTTTTGTTTTTTGTTGATTAGAAACCGAAAAAAATAACCGAAATCATATGATATAAATTCCATTGCTTGAGACAAAAGAGTAGGATAAATAATGAGATCTAGCATGTATATATTTACCCCATATTCCATGGAATTTCTTCCCCTCTATTTCGCATTTCTGTTAGTCCTCGAAGAATATGGAAAACCATTGTAATTTCGACCCAGCGTTTCTGGACTTTTTCTTGATCATCATCAAATATTATGCCGACTTGGTAGGGGAAAGCGAAGTAAATATCGGATTTATTAATATCCAGCTGCTTTCTCTGAGCCACTGATAGCTTCTGTATAGTGGGTTTTAGTTCACCGATGGCTTCTTTTGTCACAAAATTGCTTAGTGCAGCGAATTCTCCATTTACCAACTTTGACGAAATAACCTAAAAGTTAATGTTTTATGTAATCAGTACTTTGGTTTGATATGATTTTTTCTAAGCAGTTCGTCTAACAACCGATTACGGTTGCAAAAGTGCATCCTACAATTTTATTTTTGAATTAAAGGTTATTTTGGTTTTGACAACTTAAGTCATATGTGTCGAAAATTCTGTAAAAGGTTAGAGTATGGAAATGAAAATGTTCACACATAAAGGAGAATGGAAAATATTGAATTCACGAACCCGTTCGATATTCAAGAAAGCAACTATCGTACGAGCTCATTCAGGAATATATGAACCATTGTAGAGGTTTACAAGTATGGAAAGCGCCATTTTGTTTGTTTACATTGGAAAACAGCAGAGATCACCGGCTTTCTAAAACATTTTCATTATTTTCTTTTTTTCGATATTTTGTCTTTAAATTTCCCTCATTCCATCATGATTCGCTATCAGATTCTTTATTCTTATTTTTGGTAAGGCATTTCCTTATTCGTTGATTCTTTCATTGCCTGCGTTTTCATTCTGCAAGTATTACATTCTAGCTACGTCCAGCTATATTTGATTTGCAACCGCGAGTTGACATATTTCTACAAATTTCATAAAATTCCATACTTGTAATCCTCTACGATATTAACTCGACACCGTATATTTTACTTTAGATTTAACATAAAGATATATTGTTGTTGTTATTATAATTTCTAAGTCCCTACCCGTTTCCATCAGTGACGATTGTTAGCATGCAATCTCAGAAATTTTTTGTTTTTCTCTTTTTTAGGATAAGATTTTTAACTCGTGAAGGGTGGAATATTATCAAAATAGCACTACTTAGAGCCGACCCTAACTTGACTGTGAATATGATTGTATAAGATTTATTGATTTATTTTTTGTAATGTCAAATAAACTTAAAAGATATTGTGAAGGAATTGAGTGAGCGGTTGAACCATTTGCATAAATTTAAAGTTGCGCTCATTACCCCAATCAGGAAGTCTTAAATAGTTTCAAAAAAATCGGTTTTTAGTTCAAAAAATATAATGTAGTAGTGAAAATAGAAGCAGTCAGCTGGAAAATATATACGTTTTATATTCATTTTTTCCCAATGCTTATTTTAAGAGTTTGTTTCAAAGTAGCTTTGGATTATAGTACGGGAAATTTGATTTTTTTTTTTTTGGTCGTGGAAGCTTGCTGACAGGCAACTACCTGTTTTTCTAAATGTAATCAACTAAATCACAGCACGATTGTTTTGTATAAAAAACAATTCTTTACATATGTACATATATCTCAGAAGTACCATCTAGATCACCTGAAGAGCATGTTTTGCACCAATAATAAAATCGCTAATGGTAAAATCTCTATCGAAGTAAGGACGAATTATGAATTGAACTAAGATCCAATTTTTTAGTGTATTAATTGTTGAAGGCCACAATGTTTCTGGTAAGTCCATAAGCCGAGGTAGACTGCGCGTTCCATCGATATGACAATCACTATGGTCCGGATTTGGAGTATTGGAATAATCGCGTGTAGTTGAAAACAAATTCTTGTAATTGCATAATTCCTGCAGAAGTTGATGATTAATTTTAATCTTATACATGTTTACATTATTCAAAAAACCTTTCTTTTGTGCACAACCACCAAATTTTTACGAAAACTTAATATCCGTAACATATTATATTATTTAAAAACTAATCTTTATTTATGTACACAAAGATAAATTATTGCGATTTTAAGTAATCGGAGCTATCGGATATATTATGCGTATACTACATGAATTCATCGAATGCAAAGATTAGGCTAGTTGTAGTCTTTTTTAATAGAAATGTAAACATTACATTCATTGATATATCATTAAATATTGTTACGATTTTGCTAATTAACTTGATGGATACCATCATTCTCAGCTATGAATTGAAGAGAAGAGATGTTCCCGCCTTCTAAGGAGAGCGCCGTAGCTTGAAAAGGGCTCAGGTTAAATAACTCGAGCTATCATGTTTGAAATTTAGTTTTTAAGACTTGTACACTTACTGTTAGGCTTATATTAAAGCAGATCCAGTAAATAAATGAATTGTGTATAAAAAAAGCTATATATTATTCAATAAATTACAATTTACTTTGCTAAAGACGACCATTTATTTAACAACTTTCCCGCTCTACTATCTACTATTTTCATTTTGTATTGAGGTTGTCACGAACGAGTTCACTTTGTAACTGAACTCACTTTCGTTAGCTGATCTCTTATACTCTCCCGGCGCTCGTACTCAGTTCTAAAAGCTTCTGTCATTCTCTTAGGGCCGTTTTGAGACTTTCACTGAGTGCAACTATGAATAGCATTGTTGCCTGTAAAGTGTTGCACAATTTTGCTATCTCGAACCAGCAAAAACATCCGTCGAAGCCGAAGAATACATAACTGAGGTGCAAGGAAACCATATAAATATTGTTGCGAAAATGCGAGGCGAATGTCAGATGAAAGAGAGAAGCCGATAACTAGTACATTCTAGAAACGATAAAACAAGAACCTTCCATAGCGAACAATTCGATGCTTCTACGCTTTCGTCTGCGAGCAGCCGACTGCTATATAAAGGCGACACTCAGCTGCAAGTCAAGTTAGTTACAAAGTGAACTGGTTGGCGTGAACATCAGTAAAGTCGGAAAGTAAACGCGTTGGAGATTACATTTAAGTAGAGTAAATTGTGAAAGTTAATGTTAGTGATTGTAGCTAGTAAAGTGCCTTGTAATTAAATTGTGTATTACGGAGTAAATAAATGACATTAGATAAAATCTTTATTACGAAAGAAACTGCAAATTAAGTTTGCGAGTTTTTATTTAACAATCCAGAGATCGTACCCGAAGGATTTAGAAAATAATAGAGGTTGATTTAGTAAGATAGTAACAATATATATATATATATGTAATTTAAAACCATCGAAGTTCTTTTCCCAAATAAAAATATATGAAACAAATTAAATTACATTTTTTTCCATAACCATAAAATAAAATTAAAGAAGGGAGGACTTTAAGAATTACTCAACCATATCGTCTGGCATATACCAGCTGTCATGCAGTTTTGATGTATTCGCTGCAAGAACGGGCTGGTGGGCTCACCAATACACTTACACGATTTCACATATGCACATTTTTGTTGTTTATCTTTCTCTTCTGAGTACATACAAATTGAAAACGTTTCCATGCCTCCGCACCGTATAGAATGACGGGAACGATAAGCGACTTGTAGAGTTTAATTTTCGTTCGTCAAGAGAGGGGTTTACTTTTCAATTGCCCACTCAGTCCGAAGTAGCACCTGTTAGCAAGATTGATTCTGCGTTGGATTTCCACGCTGGCATTGTTGTTGATGCTAATACTGGCTCCAAGATAGACGAAATTATCTATGACTTAAAGTTATGACTGTCAACAGTGAAGTGGAAGCCGAACAAAAAGCAAAACTCACGGTGCGGTTGTTAAAATCTCTGATATCAATAACATCGGCGTACGCCGCCAGTATTACACTCTTATAGAAGATTGTAAAAGATTGTACCTTCTTTATTCAGCTCTGTCGCCTTTAATATATTCTCCAGCAATAAGTTAAAAATGTCACACGTTAAGGAATCACCCTGAATTAAACCGCGTTTGGTATCGAATGGCTCGGAGAGGTCCTTCCCGACCCTGACGGAGCTTTTATTGTTGCTTAAGGTCAGTTCACATATCCGTATAAGTTTTGCGGCTTAAACAGTCGTGTCCTCGACTTAATTCAAGAAGGCAAAGGCCCTGGCTGGTCATGCCCAAAATGTAGAAAATTTGAGATTAAAAATTTTAAGCTTTTTAACATTACAAGGAGTGGCTTTCTGAGAATGAGAAGTGCTTTTAATGAAAAATTTCAAAAATATGAGGTCGCACTTAAATCTTTTAAATGCAATTTTTCCTCCGATTTCTCGAAAATGAAACCAGACTCCAAGAAGCAAAAACGTAGTAGCGATAAGATAGTTATAATTCCAGTTACTGTCGCTTCGAACGCTCCTAGAAACCCATTAATCACTCATAATATAAATAAAGACTTGATGACGGCGCGTTTACTTCCCTCAGCACCTCTCTCGACCTTAACCACAACGAGATTGAATGGAAGAGAGCTAGGTGTGGTCTCGAAAAGGAACTTTGTATTTGTATCACTGTTTTCGAAAGATACAAGTGCGGATGAGGTCAATTTGGATATTATGAATTTTAATATCTCCTATGAAAGATCTATAGCTTCATTTAAATTAATTGTTTAGGCTAAGTCCTTTGACGTATTTGAACTCTTCATTTTAGCCGAATGGTGCTTTAATTCGAGACCTTGAGTTAAAGCAAGGAAATATTAGAAATAATCTTGCTCAGCTATCTTTTGTCTCCCTTGAGCCAAAGAACTGCTAACGGATGTCAACTTGAATATCTACATAATATCAAAACGTAAGAGGTTTGGAGATGGGTTTACAAACTGACCTTGCTGCTGAAGAAATTTATTTGCAGAATCGCAAGTGATAAATTTTTTTTTGGGTTGAAATACGTTTAATAATTAAGAATACTTACTAATTTGCCCCCAGTTATTTCCCTCCATATTCTGACTTATCCACTTAATCTCTCCATTCGTTAATCTTAAAATTATTATTTTCTATTACCAAAACATGTGAAAATATTGTTGTGATATGCGACTTCAATTTATCCTGCGATCATGAAATATTATTGACAGTTTACTAGTGCCTAGCTCAACTCGATATTATACTCATGATTATAAATAATCAATAATATATTTGGGAAGACTTTGGATCTAATATTTTTATATAACGTTTCGTCATTTGTATCTCAAATTATCTTTAGATGTTCGCTCCAACAATCATTGGTAAAAAATATCTACTTCAAAATCGAGAAACGCTCGTTTTTTATTTAAAAAGCTCAATTATATCCATCTTAGAAATGCGCTGTCTGCAAATTCCTGGCCAATGTATAATGGAAATGTGGAATTATGCGTTTCTTATTTCACAAGTGCATTTCGAAAATTGGTTCCTCTGACAAATGAACCAACCAGTGCTTTAAACGCTTTTTGGTTTAATGAATAATTTATTTATGATAAGAATTAGAAATAACATTATTTTAAACCGAAGTCATTTTATAGTTTTTTTTATATCGAAACGTAAGACTTTTGGGTTTCCATCCTCTATTAAAATTATCGATGAAGCTTGGCAGATATTTTCGCAGACTTTTTCGAATCTAATTATGCGCCGAGCACAAATTCAACCCCGCGGCCATTGTTTTACCCTTACCTATTGCCTTCTTTTGGGGTACCTCATATATCCACTGACATTTTTTATCACCGTCTTAATGCCCTTAAGAGCTCATTCACATGCAGTCCAGATAATATCACAACTAGTGTACTTAAGTTTAGTGCTGAATTTCTATATATGTATACCATCAACGAACATATTTAATGCTTTTATTCCCTTCTACTTAAAACTAAATAGTAGTAGATCATCAATAGCGAATTACAAGGGGATTACAAAGTTATGTTATAATAACAAAATTGTTTAAACTATTATAACAGATTAAATAACCCGTCTGGCTCAGGACAATCCGGACTGTCATTGGTTTTCGATCACTGGCTTGTTGGATTTTTCTTATTCTTTTTATAAAGAATGGAGTTTTTGCTATACTTACAGTGAGAAGGCTGCAGCAAGGTCTGCTGATCAGAAGAAACACTCTATGATGGCCAAATTAAAAGGTCGGGTCGCTTCGGGGTATGCCCTACTATCTCTTTTTCCTTAGACTGTTGCAGCGTCACTGACTCATCCTCAGGTGTTCCAAGGTGTTTTCTACTAGAACACGGTTTGAGACGTGCGCATCTCGTCGCCCCATACCGTTTGCCACCTCTTTTACCAGGGTTCACCAATCCTGCCTGTTGGTTTTTGTTTCACAAGCACGGCTCGTGTGAAACCTACCATTGTGCTAGGTTGCAATTTAACCTTGCTATTTAGACGGCTTTTCAGAAAAAATAGTTCCCGTCATCCTCACACCATCTCGAAGCTAATCGGGGTCGTCCAACGCTTCTTCTTTTGCAACACGGGGTTGGGACGGCCTATGGCGGATTTCTTAAGAACCTTAAGCTAAAAAAAGTTACTAAAAATTGCAATGCAATTTTCCTCTCCTTCACTGGCGGATGCACCGCTTATACGATTATAGCTAAACCAACAACAGTTGAAAACACATTTCCCTACCTTTGCACACTTTTAAATCTGGAGCGATCCCATTAATTCGGACTGCAGACGTAGCCAGCGTAGCCGCAGTCTCTGCAGTCTACCTATAGTTTAACTATATCAATTTTGCCGTATAACTCCTACAGCGTATCGATCAATCGTGTGCAATATTCGCCGTAGATAGCTTTTCTCGTGAAGATTCCTGATGCCACCTCATCGGATGTCGGCAAAATTGACGCTTCTAAACCATACCGTAGGATAGGAACGATAAGTGACTTATAGAGTATGGTTTTAGTTCGTCGATAGAGTACTATACTTTGCAATTGCCTCTCCACCCAAAAGTAGCACCTGTTAACAAGAGTTACTCTTAGCCGCTTAGCCAGAAGCTTGACTACACCCCATAACATCTCAGGTAAGTCAACCATTGACCAGGTATTCACCATGCGCCAAATCTTGGAAAAGGCCCGTGAAATGAGGATCAACGTCCACCACATCTTCATCGATTTTAAAGCCACCTTCGAGAGCACGAATAGGAGCTGCCTTTACGCCGCTATGTCTGAATTTGGTATCCCCGCTAAACTTATATGGCTGTACAAACTGACGTTAGGCAACAGTAAAAGCTCCGACCGAGCCGTTCGATATCAAACGAGGTTTTAGACTGGGTTATTCCTTATCGTGACTCCTTTAATTCATTGCTGGAGAAAATAATACGAGCTGCAGAGCG